CACAGGCTCCTGCAGTCCTGCAGTCTCCTGCTTTCATCTGTCTAATTTCCTTCTCTACTGTTGTTTTTCCTCCTATTCCTTAATAGGCTAAGTTCCTTCTCAACTTATACTGTAGTTTTTAAAGCCTTCTTGGCTTTGAAATGACATCTCCTGGCCTGGAAGAATAGCTGAGTGGTAAAACTCACACAGAAAAAAAATGTCACCTTCATAGAGACCAGACCTTCTTGGCATTCTCATCCAAAGGAACCCCTCAGTTACTGCCCATCAAATCACCCAATTTCATACTCCCAATCAAACACATTTCTTCTCACAGGTTAGTTATGTTCTTATAACACTGTATATCCATATATTTACTTCACTAATTTGCTCAAAGTAGCTGTTGAACACTTACCCCACAAGGTGCTACATTAGCTGTTCATTTGTTCAGCACTTAGCCAGTTCTTACCGAGCATTTCCTCTGTATGAACCCTGTTCTAAGAATGGGTGAGATAATGATCAACAAGATGGGTGATCAGGCCTCTGTTCTTATGAAGCTGACAGTTTCAGCGAACAAGCAAACAGGAAAAAGGGGAGCAGAAGTGGAAGGAGAAATCATTTAGATTCCCTTGGAGCAGAATAAGGGTAGAAACTAATTTAGAGTCAATTTGAAACAGAATGAGAAATAACTTGGAGCAAATTTGGATGTCAAGTCATAGGAGAAATATCTACATATAAACTCTGATGTGACTGGCTAAAATGCTCATTATTCCAATTAATCAAAATAAAACTGACTAGATACTGCTGATTTTTAAAAAACTGTTTCTCTGGTGTGAGAAACTGAAAGTTTAAATAAGGACCAAAATGTATAATAGATAATGTGAAATAGGAAGAAATTGTTCAAAAGGAAAGGGGAACTAGGGAGGGCGAAGGGGGAGTAGAAGGAAGGGAAAAGAAAAAAATGAGAAAAGAAGGAAGAAATGGAAACAAAACTTTTGTAAATGAGGAGAAGAGGGTTGGAAGGGAGGGGAGGGGATTGGGAAAAAAAAAGGATGGATCAAGATATACCATGTACAGGGCTGGGGATTTAACTCAGTGGTGCTGCTGCCTGCCTCGCAAGCTCAGGGTACCGAGTTTGATCCCCGGTACACAAAAAAAAGAAAGAAAGAAAGAAAGAAAAAAGATATACCATGTACAGGAACAAATTCCCTATGATGAAGTGATCATTATGTGTATCTAAATTGTACCAAGAAAAATAATTTTAAAAATTGAAACCTTTTCTCTAAACCAGATCTTTCCCAGTCAGTAGAGAGCCAAGAAGGACTGCTGGCTATCCGATTTTCTCAATGAGCTGCTGTCATTTCCATACTTTATAAGTTCAATATTACTAATGTACTGAATTATTAGAGATGAAATCCTCTTAAAATAAAAATAGAAGTTTAAGAATTAAAGATGCAGGAAAGGAATTTAAGGAATACTGCAACTTGTTTGCATTTATATCAAGGTTTTTCAAAACAGGTGTGTATGGTTTATATTAAATAATGATTCAGCAATTAATATATTGTTTTTTATGTAACTTTCAGTGGAGAATTTTTATTACTCTTAGGCACTTCTTCATTTCAGCACTTAGGAAATCTTCAGAAGCTGGATAAACAATTTGTGCTTTTAATTTTCTTGTAAAAATGTGGAGGAAACATTTCAGTGCATCAGATAGGCAGCTAAAGTTTACACAGAAAATGCAGCCTCTCCTGATGATAAAAGTTGTGTTCATTTGGTGAGATTTTTGAGAACATCTCTGATATGGATGTTTTTAAAGAAGAAATTCTCAGTTCTTGAAAAGGTATACCACTGCATCCAAGAGGCCATAGGATGGGTTTGGGCACTGTCTTCGTTCTGACTGTTATAACAAAATACCACTATTTGGGAAAATTAAACAGTTACTCCTCATGGTTGTGGAGGCTTGAAGTCTGAGATCAGGGAGCCCACAGGTTTGGGTTTTTGGTGACAGATCTTGACTTCCTGTGGCTTTATGTTGTGGGAAGAAAACTAGATAATTAGCTCTCTGGCCTCTTTTTTAAAAGGCACAACAGGTTGACTATCCCTCATGCAAATGTCCACAATGCAACAAAATTGGAAACTTTTTGAGCACTGGGGAAACTCCTGAAGTGATAAATTCCACACTATGAAACTTGGTTTTATGTATAGTTATTTTCAATCTTGTATGAAACTACCTTGAGACAATCTGTATAAAGTGTATATGAAATATACACAAACTTCTTTAGACTTGGGTCCCATCCCCAAGATAACTCATTATGTACCTGGAAATACACCCAAATCCCCAAAACTCTGAAATCTGAAACTCTTCCGGTCCCAACTATTTTGGACAAGGGTTACTCAACCTGTAATCCCTTCATATGGGCTCTACCCTCATGATCTACTTCTCAAAGGCCCCATACCCAAATACCATCACTTTGGGAATAGAGTTTCAACCGATGCCTTTTGGAAGGACACAACAATTCAGTCCATTGCAGACATTTATAGGAGAAATAAAGGCGCAAGTAATTTTGTGCTTGGTTCCATCACTAATTACAAAACTGTATTCAAGTCTCTGGCCTAGTTTCTGTATCTGTAAAATGGAAATAATTTTCTAGTAACACAGAATTTAATTATGTATGAAGATAAACTGATACTTTTTTCGTGAACCTGTTTTGAAATTTTAAGATTATATATGTGGATAATCAATAAAACAGGTTCAGCCAAATTTTTATTTTCTTCCTCTCAAAACCAAGATTAGTTAGGAAGGCAGATTAAATCAACTCTAAATACCATCTAAATAATTAATTCTCTCTCCTGATAGACCTCCCATCCCACTAAAGAAAACTTTGAAAAATTGGATTCTTCACCTTCAGCTTGCTCTCCTCAACCTGAAACCAAGTCAGAACTCTTAAGACATACCAGAACACATGTGTCCTTTCTGCACCCCAGTCTTTCTGTCCCTCGTTTCTTTCCTAACCCTCTACAGTCCCTGGCACAAAAATCTTCATTCAGCTTCACGGGTGATGGGTATATTTCTTACATTATAATTTCACTGTATCATATTTTCATGTCAATATATTCCTATTGGCTCTTGGGCTCAGTGTGAGATCTAAGAATACATACAATAATATCGAAAATCTAAATTTAAAAATCTTCATATATAAATTTTAGAGATAATTTTGGATTAGAAGGTCTTTTGATGTGTCCATAGTTATAAGGGTCAAAACTAAAGAATGAGTAATTTTTTTCTTCACGGAAGTCCCACTGGAATGCTCTACACTCAGTTCTCATGATTGACTTCTTGTCACTTTAGTCTCAGCTAAAACATCACATTCTCTAAGTGCTTTCTTTGAGTACCTGTGACACTATTATTGTAATGATCTTTTAAATTGACTTGCTTCTTGCATATTTTCTGCCATTGGACAGTAAGCTGAATGAGTGCAGCTTACCTAGTCCTAGAGTCTAGGATAGGACTGTCTTCCAAAACCATCTCTCCCAGCTCCTAAGCCAGTGCATGGTTCATGAGTCTCTTTTTTGTTATTGGAAGGAATGAATAAATGAAAAACTGAGCCTTTGTTTACACCATGTTAGGCTCTCAGTTGTGTTTCATATGTAATGCCCTCTGCACCTACCCCACAGCCTTACACAGTAGGAATTGTTCCCATTTTATAGTTGAAGAAAAGCTCACGAAGGCTAAATTGGAACTGGGAAGACTGATGACAGACCCTAATCTCTTCCTGTTACTGAACATGTGGATTTTAATTTCTCTTCAGTTTTCTCCACTGGGCTTTCCATGTAATTAATCACTACAATTAATCACAGGTTTTAAGGATTGAGCTTGAGTATTTCTTAGTGGAACTGTTTGCAAGAGCAAAACAGGAAACATATCCCAAGTTCAAACGTGTTGGTGTAATTCACACCCCCTCCTTACTTACAGATCTTTAAGTAAACAAGGGTGGATGTATTAGTAACAGTCTCATTCACTGGTTTAGGAATTATTTGTTTAAAAGGACACACTACCTTACTATGTAGGAAATAATTCTAGATCCAGCTGTCTTGGTAACCACCAATCTCAAATTTTGAATAGTTTGTGAACTGTGAAGGCATGTTTGTGTGTGTGTGTGTGTGTGTGTCTGGGAACCTTCTTTTTCTGCTAGCATAGTTTTATAGTGCTCTCAACGAGTTCACTGGCTTTTTTTTTTAAACTTTCCCCCTTGAGGAATAAGCTGGAAGAGCCAAGAGGTGTGGAACTCCAGGAAGTTGCCAGCAACTTTGCAAAGGCATAGCTTTTACCTTGCTGCTCACTGTCCTCTTTGTCTTTACAGGGAGACCAGAAATGGGCTTGACCACCGTGAAAAGCATTATTTTAGTTAACACACACCTTTCCCGCGCTGCCCTCCCACCTTTTGCGTTTTGAGCCAGGTTCCTAGACAGCCTCTTAGCCCTGTGGACCTGGGGCGAAGGGCGAGGGACTGGGCCCAGAGATTTTACAGGCTCAGGTGAGAGCTATGAACTCCAGCCCCGCAAGCGGTAAGAAGAATCAACAAAAGCAAACCGAGTCCTCAGCTCCCCGTTTCCTCTCTAGCCGGGAAGTGACTGCGCTGCGAGTCACTAGCGTGGGACCCAGGTGGAGCCACCGCAGGTCCCCAGCCACGCCCTGTGCCACAGGAGACCGCTCAGGTGGGACTTGGGGGTCTTCGAACTGAGTCCCGCGTTTCCTTTTCACAGACCCATCTCGTCATTTACATGAGTGGACCTCGGGGATCGACAGGGAGTCTCTTCTGTCGCTTTCCACTCAGGTTCCGCACAACCCAGAATGTCGTGGGAGCCAATAACTCTGTGTTGATCGGCTGCAGGACTGCGGATCAGGAGGCTGAGAGAGGGAATGATGACCTGAACCCCTGCAGTAGGGTCGGTACCCGGGAACCGCCCACCTGGCCTCCCCGCCACGCCAAGGCCAGGTTCCTCCTGGCTCACGCGACTCTCACCTTCTCGGCAGCGTTCTCCGGGCGGCAGCCTCACCTGTCCCTCCATGGCCCGGGAACGGGGCTTCCCGGGCGCAGCGCTGGCTCCTCACCCACCTGGACCTCGTGCCTCCATGGACCACCGTGGGGCAGGGCTGCGGGGTCCCGCACCCCGTGCGAGCCGGGCCCGCCCCTCTCCGGCCCCGCCCCCTCGGCCATGGGGGCGGAGGGCGGGGCCTCCGCGCTAGCCACGCCCACGGCCCGCGGTTGGGGGCCGGGGAGGGGCGAGCTGCAGCTTTGCCCTCAGCCTGTGGTCGTGGGAGCGGAGACCACAGACCACAGGAGGTCGGGCAGTCCAGATGCACAAACAGACCTCACAGGGGAACGGCGTCTGCCGGAGCCTGGTGGTCACCGAGGCAATTCAGGAGTTAGTGGAATGGAAACTGTGCTGAGGCTCCCTTCTGGCTGCTCTGGGGTCGAAGGGTCTCCATCGCAGGGCGCCTGAGGGACCTGCTGGTTTTGGAAGCCTTCCGTTGTTTACGCTGATACCCACGCTGACATTTATTCGGGGAGTTTTGGAACAGACTTTGCCCTTCTGTGCTGCTATCAGGTCCCCCGCGGCCCCTCCACTCCCCCGGCATCCACTGTCACCCGTTTCCAGACAGCAGGCCACTCCCTCACAGCTCCCGCCCGATTCTTCTGAGTCATACTTTATTTGAAATAAGCTTTTAAAAAGGGAATAGCAGTGCCCAAATAGAAAAATATCTATTTCCCCAAAATTATATTAGCTAACGTTTTGATTCATTACGTTTCATAGCATGGTTTATTGAGCCACAGTTTATAGATGAGGGATCTGAGGGAGAGTGAGGTAATTGCTGCTGACACCCTCACCAGAGAGCAGCAGGTGCCTTGTCCTCTGGCGTGTCAGCACTGAGGAAAATAGTCTTATCTGCTCCCCTTGCCTTTGCTGCTGTAGTCACAAATGGCTGTTAACTTTATTGCCTAAGAGTTTCTTTGGAGAGGCCTCAGTCTTGCTTTTCTGGTTCTTAGGCAGATGAGAGAATACTTACAAATAAATTACTCAACCTAACAAGGCAAGCCACACACTTTCACAAGAGGCTGACGTTTGGAAGGAGAAAAGGGTTGGGGAACAGAATAGGTGAAAGTAGAGAAATTTATACCAGTTTTGGATAACTAGCCTTAAAACTTAGACTTCTGTTTAAATATTTTCTTTTTAAATTTTTTCCTAGTTTTTAAATTCGAATTTGTTTGCAGTACATAATGTTTACATTTCTAGTGTAGAAATGGTACATGGTACATAACGTATCTTGGTAGAATCCTGATTATTAAAGTAAGTACAAGAAAATATGAAAGTTATGCATTCATTTATTCTAGTGAATGCTTGTGAGACACTGATGCACACAACTCTGTTTTCCCCATCTCTCTACCACAAGCCTGTTCATGATGTCTTCCAATCTCATCAAATTTCAACCTCCTCTTTAAACCGAAAAATCTAGAGCTGTCCTCAATTCCACTCTCATTCACACTTCACATCCAATCAGCAAATGTCATTGCCCCTGTCTTAAAAGTACATCCAAATTCCAAGCCCTCTTCACCACCCCCATTTCTCCTATGTGGCTCTGAACCTCTGTTACTTCTCACTGAACTACCCTAACATACTTTTAATGTCTTCCACATGATCTGTCTTCTCAGACCTTGGCTCCTTAACTCTGTTGTCGGTGCTTCTTCTAGTTTAGCCACACAGGCTTCTCTGCTTTTCTTTAAGCACCCAACACAATCCTATCTTTGCACATGTTCTTTTGCTAGGCAGACTGTTCCCCCGGAAGTGGGGATGTCTAACTGGGTCACTGTATTTAAGTCTCTGTAAGTGAGGCCTTCCCTGGACACCCCAGCTGAGACATTCCGACCAGACAACATATCATTCTATAACCTTTTACCTTGCTTTCTTTATCATTACCACTGATCACGACCTGACTTCTTGTATGTTTATGACTTGGTTCATTTATCTTTTTCACCCACTAGAATGCACACTAAACTTAGTGAAGGCAGCAGCTTAGCTTCGTTAATTGTTGGCTTTCCAATTCTTAGAACTTGAAGCACTTAAATATTTTTTGAATGACATGACATAAAGTCATAAACTACAGATACAGTAACAGACAACTAATGGACAATGTGGACACAGTCCCTAACCTTACAGAGTTTATAATTCTTATAGGGAAGGTAGTCATTGAGCAATTATATAACTTTTTAATACTATGGTTATAAACAGGGAGAAGGTGCTATTGAGCACTTTGGCTGAAGGTCTTAGTGTATGGAAAGACAGACCATCAAATATTTAATAATTTAGGACTAAGAGCCCAAATCCCTCAAATTATATAATTTTAAAAATGGAAATACAAAGAATCAATATCATGCAAATGAGCATCTATAGTTAGAGGTGCTTTAAATAAGATTATAAAGATTTAGAGGGAGCTGACAAAGCAAGACAGGGAACCAGATTAAAAGTAGCATATTAAATAGATAATCCAATGTAGCTATGTTCTTTCTGTCAGTCAAGGTTAGTGCAGGTCCCAGGAAAAGGAAACGGGTAATAGGCAGACTGGGTCAAGCTAATTACGCTTTGGATGGGAAAACAAAAACAAAACACTCGCCCTTTTAAACTTGGGTAAATTGGAAAAATATCCTAGTGTGTATGTTTTACAAAATTTCTACTTTCAATTTCAGCAAAAATTAATTCCTGTCCCCTCCCTCCCCCAAATCTCTTCCACCAGTTCCTTTCCTCTAAAAGATCTTAGGGCTCCTTGTATGTGGTCCCTCAGTGAAGTGTCACATTGTTTTATCAACAAGCTGCCAGATGCCAGCTAAGGTGCTCTCCAAAAACTCAGAGGGGAAGGGGAAGGAAGAGAGGCCATACTTACTCAGCTTTCTCTTAGATGTACACACTAACAGTGTGTGACGTGCTGTCATCTTGCTCTGTTTATCCTCACAGAAACCTAATGGAAGAACTATATTTTTATTTAACAGATAAGGAAACTGAGTGCGAGAAAAATTACATAATTTTCTCAAGACCATACAACTAACCTATTATTCCAAGAATCAGTAATATTTGGTTCATTCTGAATTAATTTATTTTTGAAGGGGGAAACTTTCCAGGAGGAAGTATGAGAGCTAGTAAAGGATGAAGCATTTGAATTAAAACAAATGAGTCATTCTGGATATGTAAAACATTTCTTTGTGTGTGTGTGTGTGTGTGTGTGTGTGTGTGTGTGTGCGTGTGTATGATTCACTAGGGAAGAGTTGTTTTATAATGAGAAGTTTTATGAAATTTCATGATGTCCCCTAGCATTTAACTTGTCAGGAAGAAGGAAGGTCTGTTAGAATTACATCACTAACCATTTAATTTAACTAATTAAAATCATTTTTATGTGTTATATACATGTACCAACTCCACCCAATGAGTGTAATCATTATATATTACAAACACATACTCATAAAAATAAAAAAATTTTTTTGTATTAAATTCTTTTATTGGTACATTGTAGGTACACAACACAATTACATTTCTCATTGGGAATTGTACCTTTACATAATGCAT